ATCACACTTAGGAAGCTTTTGATCCCCTCCGAGGCCACCTTGTCTGGAATTCGATCAAGTGCGAGTTGCCACTCTTCGCACAGCGAGTAGATCTCGGGGTTCTGCCGGCTTTGAGCGAGAGAATCATGGTGGCACTGGAAGAGAGAGAGGCGGAGCCACCCCGTGAGAGCATGTACATACTCTCTCTGGGAGTTGACGAGGCTGCAGAATGCAGAGTACCAGTTCTCCACCTCCAGCTCGAGCTGGAGAGCAGCCTGCCGATGGATGTTGCTTGTGGGATGAGAGTTCAGTGCACAGTTCAAGTACTTCAGTTGCTGAACAATGTGTGTCTGCACCTGATGGCACTCATACATGCTCCTCCACATGCTCATCAAACTGCATTGTGCAAGGCAAAAACACTGTTGGCAAATGCATAAAATAGAGGACATTATGTAGCACGATGATCTGACAACTTTGTGACATGGAAATCAAGCAGAATGTCGTGAAAGATACTGAATCACAAGCTCAGAGAATCACAGACTAGTGGTGGAAGTTCATAGCATGTGACATGGTGTTTCTTTTTAGCTCTAAAAAACCATTTTCTTCAGTCTGTTCAACTTGAGCCAAATCCTTCAAACCTATTTTTCTCCAAACATGTCCTGAGGTCCCAATTGGATGTTGGTAAACACTAATTTAGAAAAATGAGAAGCACCTAAAATTGAACAATGGTAAATTGCTGAAGAACCATAAATACTGTCTAAAGGTAAAAGCAACTAAAGATGGATCCAAGTTAGTTTACTTGGGATGTTGTGACATATCGGAATCATAAATTGATAATGAACAACCAAATAATCACCAACTTGACTCCTAGATATTGGAGAAACCTACAGGAAAGCATTCTGATCATGCAAAGCTCAAAAGAACACATATACGTATCCTACACCTGCCATTTTAATTTGCAAAATCATGTAGCATCACAATTTGGTTTAGTTAGGTCTGCTTGTGCAAATGACATCAATGTCTTAGTCGAGACAAAGTCCTTTGGACAAAGTAAAAGTAGTAGATGAGTCAGACCATTATGGTGCTGAAAGCAGCATCTTCTTTCTAGGTGCTCCTATTTCCACACTTCTATTTTCCTAATTACCCTTGGAACCGTGGGATCGGATGAACATTGTATGAAGATTTTAAAGGCTATGCAACTGAGGAAGTGCAAAGGAAGAGTAACATCAGCTAGAGGTAGCACTTCAACTTTTCTCTCACTTAGTTTAGCATTCTTAGGATATCTGACAGTCAACTCTACAAGCAAGTATCAAAGTGTTTCAGACAACCACTTGACCAAGCAAATGCATGATATCATATGAGCAGAAACGGGAAACATGTGAGCTTTTTAAATTTTTTTTCTTGTGTGTCACAGAGAGAGAGAGAGAGAGAGAGAGTAACCCAGTAAGCAGTTCAAGAAGCTGAGGGAAGAGCTCAGACTCCCTCAACTTAATGATCTCAGAGGTGGTGGTCTCTATGGCCTGGGAGGCTACCATCATCTTGGACTCCAGCCTCTCAATCTCCATCTTGTTCTTCTCCATCTTTACATAGTCCACTCCTCTGACCTCTTGCTTCCTCAATAATGCCACCCTCTTCTCATGCTCCTCCCGGATCATCTCAGCATTCTGTGGTAAAAGACCGTCAGCAAAAACCCACATGATCTATCTTCTCGATCTAGCAATAGTATAAGCGGTCCATGTGATCAATTAATTCAGCTTGTGTGTCAATCTTGGATGTCCCAAGAACAAAAGATGTGTTGTGATGTAATAGATTACTATGCATAAGATCTGATCAAGCAAATAGACACGTGGTTTTCCTTGTCTGGGAATTATAGCTTGGCATCAGGCAACTCATGACAACAATGGCGAGTGAAAGCAAGGACTTTGAGGTAGCCATCGTACCTTGACTTCAAGGAACAGCTTCTTCTCCCAAGCATAGAGCTTCTCCACAGTGGAGGTGTGGCTCACATTCCCGATTCCAGCTCCAACCCCACTTCCAAAGCCCCTAACCATCTCACCTCTGCAACTCCCAAACCTGGTGAAACCACCATTAGTCTTTGAGTCGGATCTCCAAGACCAATTCAAGGGGTTCAAGTTCTTGCCGTAGCTACTCATCTTTGCTGCATTTGCAAAAAGTAGCAACACTCATTCAGATCAAAGAAAAAAGCATATATGTACGTAGCTAAAAAGGAATAATGGAACTCGCCTGAGAGCCCCTGGTTGGAGGAGAAATCACTGTTGGGAGCTTCCAGTGTGAGTGAAACACGACTTCCGGCCTCCGTGGCCTTGAGGAAGTACTCATCGAGCTCCTTAACTATCTCGGAGAGATCTTTCTTGCCCCTTGGGACGACCACCATGGCAAGCTCACTGGTCGATTCCTTCGAGTAGCCGCTGACCACTGATGGCGGGGGCACCACGGCGGGTGCCGCGGTGACTTCCGAGACGGTGGTGGTGACTTCCTCCCACTCCTCTTCCGTAGCCGAGCAAGAGGAGCGCGGGACGAAGGGGTCCCAGAAATCCCAGCTCGAAGAAAGCGGCGGCGGCGGCGGCGGGGGGGGAAGGATCGGGGAGGCGGTGACCGAGGAAGTCCAGTTGTCGGAGCTCGGGCTCATTGGTGGATGCGACGGAAGGGGGAGCTGATGGCCGCCGCGGCGGCGGCGGAGGGGGAGGTGGGGGGAGGGGGGAGGAGGGCGGAGGGGAGGG